GGATACAACTTTGAGTACTTTAAACGTAGGATGCTGGATATTTAAGACCGATTCTGTCAGAGATTACAGAAACTCGCCCTACCTTCCCTCTGACTGCGAGTAAAGAGGACGTCATAGCGTCGACAACATTGTTTTAAACGCAAAAGGCCCCGATGGTGTCCATTTCACTGCCTGCATGGACAGCCACGCGGAACTCTTTTTTTGTGTGACCTTCGGTTACTTATTGTGCGTTATTGTTATTGATTTTTATTATTATTTAGAAAATATATTGCTCAACAACAACATTTTAAGACTTCCGTTTTATATTTCTGCCTAATCCACGACGATGGCGCAAACATCTCAATCCACCACTAGGTGGTGCTGTCCACTCCGTACATTATTTTTTGCCTCAGTCAGTCCGTAGTACTAGATAGCCATTGCCGCCAAAACGTATGTGGACATTCACACTTAAAATTATGATTTTTAAATGGATTGAATAACAAAATTTGAAATTATCTGAGAACAAATTATATTACAGCTTTTCTTAAAATCTGAATTTTATGAACCATATTTACTTTTTAACCAGCTAACGTTAGTGTCAGTGAGATGACCCCCCCCATGCAAGTTTAGGCATGCCACACTGATGTCTTGATGTGTGTGTGTGTGTGAGAGAGAGAGAGAGTCTGTGCTTGTGGTAGGTGTGGTAGGTGGGTGTACTGTCAAAACTTGCTTTCCTGGTCCTTGAGTTGGCTGAGATTACTTTTGTTTTAATTGTTTTAAAAGCTTACTGAAATACCAGTCTGCTCCTCCAGCCACTTTTATTCCCAACAAACCTTTTAGCACTTTCAGAAGATGTCCATCACGGTGTATTACAGCAGTGTGAGTGGCTCTAGAGAGGTGTGTATCTGTATTTCTGACTGCTCAGGATGTGTCTAGCCGTTGATAGGCCTACTTGCTTTTTGAAACTATATGATATAAACTGATATTTTGAAGAGTACCTATTTTTTGTGTTTACATGCTATACAGTCGTCTTATGTCAAATTAGATTAGTGAAGTTAACTCCACAGAGGTTTGTGTTTGTGTCTGCAGAAGGATTTAAAAAATCCTACTGTAGATGATGAAAAACATTGTTATTACAAGAAATCTGAAGTAAATAACTAGTTGTTCTTGTCGCATGTCTTAAAAAAGGAAGAGAAACCAGAGTTCATTGTGAGTTATCAAAGGTTTATTATTTTCCATCTCTGTTTCTTCAGGTGAAGCAACATCAGTCTGAGATTCTGCAGTTTCTGGATGCCAAGAAGATCAAGTACTTTGCTGTGGACATCGCAGGAAGCGGTGACTTGAAGGAGGAGATGAGGAAGAAAGTGGGAAACCCCTCAGCGATGCCCCCTCAGGTCTTTAATGGAGACAAATACTGTGGGGTAAGTCTCATCTAGTAGCCTTGTTTTTGATACTGGTCTGTAGATCAAGAGAGAAAAATTGCTTCTGTTTTACCTGCATCAAATCAACCTCAAGTCAGAAATGGTCAGTTGATTTAATCTTCTAAAAACCGATAGGCTGCATGCTGGCATTCAAATGAATGTTTTTATTAATTTAATTTGAAATATTTTGCATTACACACTAAACCATGTTAAATCTATCAAATAATGTGACTTAAGTTCAGTATCCACGTGTTTTTCTGTTAATTATGAGTATTAAGCCATGTTTTTTTGCAGTTATTAGGAAAAGCACATAACGTTCAGGCTATGATGTGTCATAAAGCATAAACAGAACATGGAAATCTTCGAAATGAACTAAATGTATCTGTTTGGGTTTTGCAACAAGCATGTTGAAACGCTGAGTCAGTTACTGAGAGATACAAAACAGGACGTAAGTGTTTGTAGTGTATGTTAATGCTATTAATTTTGCTGTGCAAACAACACTTGAAACATAAGAGTTTGTATATAAGCACAGGAGACCTGTCAGGCTCGTTCAGTTTCTTACACACCCGTTCAAACACTCCTATCAGCTATAGATGTTTCCACTGCTTGGAATGCACCAGTGCTTTCTTGTGATAGTCTGCCACTCTGGGGAACATCTTGAGATTGCGTTGTGATGCTCAGAACAGTACTGTTTACAAATCTGCAAGAATTCCACACATGCAGTGTGTCTGGATGTACTTTAACAGTAATGCCCG